TCACCCTCAACAATCACATAACTAGCCAGGATATACACAAAAGTTTACCATAAACAGTGGATTTGAGCATAGACCCCTGATAGTCTTGGAGTACGTGCCATACCTACGGACATTAATTACCAACTGATTAAGTACGAATAAAACAACTTGTACGTTATCGAATAGTAAAATGTCGTCCGCCTACTGAAGATTGAAGTCTTTTCACAAGAGACGGATCCACACCATAATTGTTTACTTCATTCAAATCTGTTCTCAGAATTTTATCGATAGCAAAGCTGAATAGGAATGGTGAGATAACTTTCCCTTACTAAACATCGAGACTGTAACAATGCCTGAGGTGATAGTACAATCCATATCGCTATGGTCGTCTTTCAAAATCCACGATTATTGTTAATTTGCTGAGCTCAGTAGTTGAATATTTTGGGTGTAATAGTTCAGCATTGGTCAGTGACACAGATGCATTTACTTTCTGACCTTCCATTGGTCTTGAGTTTCAATATCCCTTTATAGTTATGGCTTTTGACTGTCAATTATCACGTGACAAAACCGCCAGCCAGAAGACCGACTTATGTGACCTTGTTTTTCTGCTAAACCAATAAAACATCAACCAGCACAAGCAGTCTTGCGTCAACTCTGAATCCCTATTGGTCCCCCCCACGTAGTAACTTTTCGCCCAGCCCCGCTCGTTGAGTCCGGAACACAATCTCAGCCTCCATTGTATTAGTCGTACATTTTAGACATACGTGGTTCATATACAAGTAGACCAGACCACATCACACTATAAAGTGAGAAATGATAATTATATAAGATCAATCTAAAAGTGGCCGTGTGAGAGACTAACTAATAGACTAAGAATAACTTGAGAATAGTAAATCGTGCAATTGTAGCCGATAAGTCAAATGAAAGCTTATAATAAAAAGTAATATATATATATATATATATATATATATATATATATATATATATATTAATTATAGAAGGGGTTTTGTGGAGATTTAGTATTTATCATTGTTGAAAGCGTGAGTCAATTGAAGCTAGACCACCATGGAAAACCTGGAAACACTGGACGGCCGTTTCGTCCTATTATGGGACTCCTCAGCAGTGCGCATCCACGAACCTGCTCTCGCGAGCGAGATTCGAACCCAGGACCTACCAGTCTCGAGCCGAAGCCCTTAACCGATAGACCACTGAGCTGGCATCCAACGGTGTTAATGTCTAACTTCAACTGATCCACGAAGTTGAGCAACCATTCACCAATTGTCTTCAGTGAGTTCCTATCTCACAACAGACGTGGTTTTGAACTCCACTGGTCACTGCTTCTCACTAGAGCTCCTAGATATACTTCTCGAAATCACTAGTGAGCATATTATTATATTAATTATAGAAGGGGTTTTGTGGAGATTTAGTATTTATCATTGTTGAAAGCGTGAGTCAATTGAAGCTAGACCACCATGGAAAACCTGGAAACACTGGACGGCCGTTTCGTCCTATTATGGGACTCCTCAGCAGTGCGCATCCACGAACCTGCTCTCGCGAGCGAGATTCGAACCCAGGACCTACCAGTCTCGAGCCGAAGCCCTTAACCGATAGACCACTGAGCTGGCATCCAACGGTGTTAATGTCTAACTTCAACTGATCCACGAAGTTGAGCAACCATTCACCAATTGTCTTCAGTGAGTTCCTATCTCACAACAGACGTGGTTTTGAACTCCACTGGTCACTGCTTCTCACTAGAGCTCCTAGATATACTTCTCGAAATCACTAGTGAGCATATTATTATATTAATTATAGAAGGGGTTTTGTGGAGATTTAGTATTTATCATTGTTGAAAGCGTGAGTCAATTGAAGCTAGACCACCATGGAAAACCTGGAAACACTGGACGGCCGTTTCGTCCACACCGTTGGATGCCAGCTCAGTGGTCTATCGGTTAAGGGCTTCGGCTCGAGACTGGTAGGTCCTGGGTTCGAATCTCGCTCGCGAGAGCAGGTTCGTGGATGCGCACTGCTGAGGAGTCCCATAATAGGACGAAACGGCCGTCCAGTGTTTCCAGGTTTTCCATGGTGGTCTAGCTTCAATTGACTCACGCTTTCAACAATGATATATATATATATATATATATATATATATATATATATATATATATATATTAGGTACTGAATAATTATCCAATAAGAATATATGTAATAATAGTCCATAAATAACTAACAGCTAATAATCATTTATTTTTCGTTCGAATATAATAGACACATTATTGACCATTTTCTTCAATGTTTAGTCTCTCCCATTACCATTGGTGCTGTTGTTATTTTTACTTCATTATTTATCTTGTTATCTCATTAAGTCATAATGACGTGGTATAACAATTTTAGCTGGTAAATATGTACGGCAGACTTTTAGATGATTTGCAATGACGTCTTTATTGAGACCGATATTATCTGAGAATGGGTGTAGATAAAAGTTCCTACTATTTATTTTACTACGAAATAATTTCTTAAACATCCCTAAATGTTTTTTGTTTGGTTTACCTTAAAAACTTGAGAGTAGAGGGGATTTTGAGAAACAGGTAAATTCAAGTGTTTGTGTTTCCGGGTGAGACTACGATGTATGGACAACTTTTGAGCGACGCCAAAGTGACCTTGAGAATGTTCATCTACTAGGTAGGTTTAAATGATTATTATAAACCAGTGAGGAATTAGAATAATGAATTAAAGTTGACGGTAAGGTTTAGGCATTATATTTAGGTTTTTCATCACGAACTAACATAATCTAAAACGCCAAAACGCTACTTAGCCACATGAATGAATGAATTTTGCACCAAAATCCAAGGCTTGTTATCTTGTATCGGATTGGTTCGTCCACAAATTACAGTCTCGCCACAGACTATAAATAAAGACATGCTTCTTTCGAAAATAATCCTATACTTTAGCCTGTGAGATTAAGAGAGCTATTGAACAGCATTAGCCATGTGAAGTGAGAAACATGAAATCGTTTTAAGATAAAATAGGTGTTGTTGAGTAAACTTTAGTATTTAGCCTTAACTCTATGGGTAGTAAAAGTCGAAGTTGGTGTGAAAGAGTCAATGATAGGCGAACATTCCGGAGGCAATGTGGACTCGAATATTGATGAGCAACTGGCAATTCTCAGTTGCTTGTACCGCATATAGTGACTTCTGGGACATACACAATGAAGCTTGCGGTATACCGTGTACAACGACCACATCCAAGTTTTACATTTGGAAGGTCAAATACTCATGGGTGCGGAATGTTTTTTTTATTATGTCCCGCTATTAAAACTAGGTTCATTACTTTTAACCGGTGTTGATGACATTTAAGCGACGCTGGGGTATCGTTTAAGAAGGACTCCAGTTGCTTGGAAGCATTTTACTTATTTTACTGATGAACTTCCATGTTGAGTCACTTATTACTGAAGCGATTAAATGACCTTACGAACTTTTTTAGTTTATAATATCGTATCTGAGAATGATATTGAAAGGATACTGAGCTGAACTCAGCGCCAGACGGTAATGACGTAGAGCCAGATAAAATGATGCATTGGCCTAAGTCGGCATACATGTTACAGTAGATTAAATCATTAGCAAATAACCATCGGGGTCTGAATAAATGCCAGTCCTGATATAGTTCCATTGACTCTGAACGTAGAAAGTAGAGAATAAAGCAATTCGAGCTCATTCCTACTAAACGACTATATTTTTACTTAAAGCATTTCCTAATCCACGTTCGATTTCCTACAGTTCTTCTTATGTAACAAGGCATCTGTCAGTAGATTGTACCTTACCAAACTTTCCAGATTATAACACTTAATGCCCCCAAATGCCCTGGTACTTCCGAGGGTGTAGAGAGTTCACTCTCCCTCTTAAAATGCTTCCACATGGCACGTGTATACAGCCACTGCCAGGAAAGTCCTGCTCACTGCCTTCTCACGGTGGGGGTGTTATTTACGAAATTGTGAGGAAGCAAAGCGAATGTCCTGTGTTTAAACCGGGTTGGTGGATACGGAAAGTCCATCTAGTGGAGTTGGAAAACCCTTATTTCAAACCAATTATGCACATGGGCTCCAGAATCCTGAGCGAACAAACTGGGTCAGAACTTTAGGTTGAAGGTCCCGGGTGTGGCCCCCTAAGAAAACCACCTGTTTCGTTTGGGCATCAGGGTAGTATTATAGACTACTCACAAATCATGTGGCTTGTGTGGCGCATATGTATTCGGTGCCCCTGTGTAACAATGTTTGTGTTCAAATAAATAATATACTAGTTCCATTTATCAAATAAGATCCAACTATAAGTGATTGGTTGACTGAAAACTATTGTTTAGCACTTTCGATATATGTAACGCATTTTCGATATTAAGTGCTTCGACTATTTCGCTTACCTTGGAAGTTATATATGTCTATACTATCACTTTTACTACCCTGAGATATCTTGACAATTACATCTTACTATGCTAGAGTAGCGTGATAGCCTAGGCTGATCCATATATACTCCAGGCTCTACGCTGCTTATGACTGACTGACCTAAGTATTTAGAAAACTCAAAATGCACAAAAAAATCAGGGTTATGTCTAGACTAACTATTTAGAGCAAAGATCTCTCTGAAACCGCATTTAGCCTTGACTGGTGTAGTTGAGAAAAGTTTTAAGAGCAGTAATTCAACTAAGTCACATATTAACCAACTTGGGGATTTCGAACGCAACCGACTGAGTGAGAGGTTTTGGAGACTTATAAAAAGTGACAGGCTATTCATAGCGAACACAGCTTAAAAAACACAGACTGAGTGTAGTATAAAATAATTTATAGATGATTTTTACAGACAGGATACTATCTTTCTAGGTGTCCAGAATGGGGAACATAAATGTTAGATTGTTTGGAATCTATCGATTATTCAACTAATTTTTTATTTCTCAAATAACATGAAAAAATAAACAACCTCATTTCTAACAGTAGGAAACTTATGATAAAGTAAAGGGTGCAAATACGTACTTACCTTCTTGGGGAATATTTCTGTGGTCGCTTAGAATCGCATGTTGTGGCTGATTATATATAATCCTAATCCCTACAAATAAAGAAATCTATTAGAAATTAGAGAATAGTCATGCAAACATACATGACAATATAGGTTTCAGGAACATTGTTCCTATTCATATGAGTTCGATGACTTATTAATTTCGCTCTTACAGATTTATATATCATACAACTAGCAGTGAAACCAGTAGAGTATTGTTTCATTTTTAACTGCTAATTTTGACGGTCTGATTCACAAGCCGGTATCACAACCTCACTACATAATTTAGTAGGCTACGTTTTTAGCTTGATATTTGATTAAAATTGATCACTCCTCTTAATATAAGGGGAAACTTGAAACGTGGACATTAAAAGATATTCATCACATTTTGCCTCTCTGTATGACTGATAGGTTGAATCGCAGCCGACTTTGGTAGGGATAATTAATCAACATGTATGGTAATATTTGGTAATCTATGATTATTGATACCTAAACTTAAGTATTTAGTAACAGTAGTTAGATGTTGTTGAGCAACACTAAGGTAATTGTGCACAAGGCGACAAAAAGAACCATTGTTGATGCTAAAGCAACTGAAGCAGGGATACTAAATATAACTTTAGATGGGCTATATCTTGTCCCAATACTGACAATAACGCAGTGAAATATAGCTCGGAACCTGGGAGCTAAATAAAGGGTTCTGGATCATAAGATTGATGAGTTCTCATTATGTGTTTCGTAAGAGGTCAGATATACAGTTCTGTAAATATTCGTGAGAAATATACGTTAGGTAATGAGGTTATTGTGACCTAGCTATTTTTGCAGCTGCAGGAGTGATGAAGATATGTAAAGCCACACTTCCCTTCTGAAGGCGAAAAGACCTACGATACGTCGATGATTTTCCAGAGTATGTAAAAATAAATTTGATAGGCAATAGGAGATAGACGGACAGTCATGTGTGGCGTAAAACCTGACTCACCAAACTTTCTATCGAGTTTATGTTACGTAGATTGTGGGCCTAGTTGTTTCTCCATTCTCCATAAAATCCCTAGATGTAACCAACAACTTCAACATTCCGAACAGCTTATGAGTAACAACACATTTGGTGATCAAAAGTCAGCACATTCGAACTCATGCAGTTAGTGCGAAACTAAATTCTAGGGATGAGTTGAAACGAATAAGAACATTAAGAGGCATCACATGTCATGAAGACGACATCAACACAAATACCTGAAATACATACGCCTGCTTATAAAAATGTGAGCATACTAGCATTTCAGAATAATGAAGTTGATAACAATGCATTTTACATGGATGCGTGGCTCACAAGAAAGTCCCAGTCCAAGCAATATGACTGAATACCGATATCAGAAATCCAAGTTGATCAAACAGTAACCAGGCAATATTTAACTGTACATGAAGCAAAAAGCTCGAATTCTACTTCTTTTCACCTTCATTAAAGAACACCAAGAACTGATACGCATAAACCTACCACCTGGTGCCAGCTGGTCAAATGACGCAGTCGCAACCTTGTTGCCGAATATCATGTTCTATATCCTCGTGTTCAAGAGACAATTCGAGGTCAAATTTGAATGGTCAATTGTTGAAAGAGCAATTGAACAGGAGGTAATTTCGCACAACCAATTATTAAAACGTTGTTTGACGGTCAGGTAAAATGGAATATACGGAATTCTATATGTGGTCTTTCATAGATTATAAAGAACTTTGTTTTTGCACATTCACAAATCATTCCTACAATTACCTGGGTTTAACATAGAATACAATGTTCAATCGTGAAGAGTATCATCAACTCTAAAATTGAATAAAACATTTGCGTGATTCGGATAAATGTGGATATCAAAAAAACTTACAATTCATGCAAAAAAAGTTGGAAATAACTGTTATGATGTAACCAGAAACTACCTAAGCTGGTCACATCCCATACTATAGACAGAATTTTGTATAAAGCGACTACTGTTTGAGGTTGAAATGTAATCCTCCATTTTCCCTTGTCCATATTCATTTTCGGATAATTGTTTAAAACCGCTTTCCGTGTTCAAACTTCTAATTATATCCACGAAACTACCAGGGTTAGGTTGAGTCATTTGGGTTTCTATTGTATTCAATTTGACACTTAAGCAGATGTTTAAAGTGAATGGTAAAGTCATCAGTTCAAATAATTGAACCAGCTAAAAATACGAAGTCAATTACTCAAGCCTGGAAGACTCTACGGAATACGCACACCCCAAGCCTTAAATTTTCCTGCTATCACATTTGACTAAATACAAAATTCTCTTCAGTTAATTTTATACCCAAATTAATTCATGACCAAACATTCGTGGATAGAAGACGAGTTATTCTACGTCATTCATTCACAAATGGTTTCAAAGCAGGAATTTTTAAAGCTAGTAGGGGAAAATTGGATCGAAAATTAAACGACCAGCTGTTGATTAAAAGTCTCAAAGGATTCGGAAGATAAAAACAACGCCCTTTACAAGGATGGAGCATGAGAACGACCCAAATTAAATTTCTACGCACATATTATTTTCCACTATTTGAGAGGACACGTAGAGTACATTGAAGTGTCAGCTCTATTACTTGTCCAGTTCTATACAGATTGAAACTGCGACGTTTTCACTTCAAGCCATAGATGACTCTAAAACGAGAGCTGACGAACTAAATAAAGCATTCGATATGATTATATCTATCTTCGGTTGGTATTACAGTTATCCACATGCTGAATGTTGTTGCAGCACTTATTTTTAACAATCATCTCAAATGCTCGATGGTTGATTGAAAATATACTGGTAGTGATCTTTCTGTGCCAACAGTTATCACTTACTCTCCCTTCAGTGACAGTGTATGATCGAAGACTATGATGGGTGCTTATCTATGGGCATTACTTTGCACACGCATGTTGGCTGTAGTTGACGTTGTTCGTTCACTGTAGCTTAGTAAAAAGTAGTCATTGCGTTCTAAAACTGAATAGGATGTCGGTTAATTGTTTCATTATGTCCATAAACCATGTACATTCAATGGTTTGGGGGATGGCTGGTGTAGCCGCTAAAATAAGGTTTCCAACTGATAGAGATGTTGCAAATAACTTCTTATGGGGTCATATACAATTTTAAAGTCCAAGCTAAGTTTTTGGCTGGAGAATAACTGTCTCGGGATTGCTGACACGCGATACACCCCGGTTAAAATAAAAACAAGGGGATTTGGGGAAATAACGGTTCTAATTTCATCATAAATACAAATGTACATTACCACATAAACAAATATTACTGCTCACTTATTCAACCAATAATTGTTCTTTCAATAATCGATTTAAATTACAGTTAATAGAAAAATCGATAAGGAATATAAGGAAACTACCGAACGCACCAAAAAATAAGTGTTATTCTATCCTTTCTGGATAGATCAAATGAAAAACCGTTCAAATAATAATAGATTGTTGTTTTATAACACAAAGTGTTTTCAATTTTTGAAAAGTGCTTCAATCCACAATCTAAATGCACTTTCAAACCGCCAAAACGTTTTGTTTTATTTTTGTGCTTGCTACGTTCAACATAATTTTCTGATCTGGAAACTGGCAGGAGCCGATAAGTGCACAGTTAAGACCACATATGTTACAGTTTATCACTAGCACTTATCAGTCAGTGTAAACATCACATCCACTGCAGGCTAAATTGGATTCACAGATCTGTATTTTAATTCTAAAAACCCCGAGATCTGAAAAAAGCAATTGAATTTTTCGCGTCTTAAGATATTATATTCCTGTTGTAGATTTCGTATCAGAAGTTAAACTTAAGCTCATACTTGGAGCTTTTAGCACTATTTGGGTTTGTGAATTTTTTTCAAAATTTCTACTTCAGCATTCACTAGCTGGTTTCTTTACGCTAGTGCACACATGTACCTTTTACACACCGTTTTCCTGGTTTCGGTTATCTTAGTTTTTTGAAGTTTTCATGTATTAACCATTACTAGTTGAAGTGACCGTTTCTGTGCAATTTACCGACGTCCTAGTAACATTGTAACTTTCGACTTTTTGTGATTAGCTGTTTGAACTATTCTTGTTACATCCAAATCAAACTAGTTACTATGGTCGCTCAAAGCCATTGATGCGGTCGACCGTTGTGAACCGTTCCTGTTGAATATGTTAAACAGTGTGGCAACTGTAAGAAATTTCTCCACAAAACGCACACTAGTTTATCGCTGGCCATGTATAAAAGCTTCTGAAACCGGTTTCATTATGATCATGGGAAGGATGCAGCCCTACTACAGTGATTTTCATGGTTAAAGTCTTGAAGCTCCTCGCTCTGGTGAAAAAGTAATTGGGCGACGAGGCTGGTTCAGCGGGTTTGACATCAAACAAGGAGGAACCAGAAATTGTGTTTTCTAGTATCGTCAGCTAAGCTCTCACGCCTGATCAAAAGCCTGAAGATCACTTTATCGAAGAATGAAAAAAGAAAACAACCCTTTGTTCAGACCATTGTTGCTCACTGTCGGCACAAGAAAACTTAAGCACCATTAAATTGCACTTTCCCCAAATACTACCGATAAGTACAACTGTACGATGCTCAGAAAATAAAACTCATAAGAAAAAACGGGATAGTTTAAGTGAATGGGTTCACCCGAATGTCAAGAAAAAGGGAAATTAGGGGCGGATTCCGATAGTTAGTGGGAAGAAAACGACAGCACCGTCAAACGCCGTAAACTGGACTTCTAGAGACATCAAATCCACTCCAAGTTTAATTTTTTGAAAGCTGGGAGAATGAAGAGGAAATGACCTTGTCAAATGACTCGCAGTTTTTGGAAGATGTTATCGGTAATGTACTTACAGAAGAGTATTTGAGAGTATATACTGTCAATGTAGTAAGATTCGGTAGTTAGGTTGGTGGCGATACCCAACGAAAGAGGACCTTGAAGTTAGTACTCGGAAGTAACAAGAAATGGAATGTTATACTAGACAATAAATATGGAACTCATAATTCGAATTTTTTTATCCCATTAGAATAGTTGTCACAACTTAGGTTTATTAGTTAAGTGCTGACCTCAAACAACTAAGTATATGTAAAAACAACAAAGCTCAAGTGTTCATTCATCTCCTTATTTTGTATAGGCATTATATTTCCTATTATCTTATATTGAATGTTGAAAAGCTTCATGTGTTTGAAAGAGTAATTCTCTGCTCCGTTGTGACTGTCCAGCGATCTAAATATAGACTTATCCACTACTACTCTGGTTTCTTCCATCAATAGAACGACGGTTACCCACAGGCAGGAAGTGGTCATCTAGGAATCAAATTATGTGGAACAATGAAATCCGACGAAACAAGTTATGAGATTCAGGGTTTCCAGGAAGTCAGGTCTCGGAAGCCAATCCTTACAACATGCTCCCCGAAATGAAAGCAGTATTTGTTACATAAACACTCACGTTCTTGTAAACAAAATGTTCAAGCTGAGCTCAATGGTGAAAAAGTTGTGTTTAGATTTCATTGTTGTCACAGAGATATGGTTTACCCTATATGTAAATTATTCTTCAACTGTTGCGGAATAAATCTGTATTGGAAGTAAAAAAATTATCAATTAAATAGGAGGGATAATATTGCACTTTATGGGTTAATTTCATGTACAAACAAGTACATAGCAGGGGCAAGATAGCAGTGGTACATGTGAGGTACAATTATATCTAGACGTGAGTTAATAATTATGGAAGGAATATAACGCAGTCCACGTTGTCCTGCTGATGACTTTTCCTTAGGTCATATATGTGCATATAGGGAGACTCATTGTCATTCCTTCGTTCGAGATATTGACGCATTACAAACCAAATGGATAGAGTTCACAACTCCTAGTGGATATTTTGACGACAGCCTACTGACAACTAATATTCAATGCGTATTTGTACAGTCTGCCGAAAAAATGACGCATAATAACCTAGAATATGAACCACCACTGGTGGACCCAGCCTGTACACACCACTGTGATTATGCCACCAACTTTCAATACATACTCACGCGAGCAAAGAGGGATCACGTTATACTGTACCGCAGGTTTCTGACACCTCTACCTAAAATTGGGCCGGCTATTATTCTGGCTGTCAGAGGTCGAGCTAACTCATAAGATTGGTTGGCCTTCGTAGACAGGTTAGTGGAAGACTAATGGAATAGGTTCAAATGCCCATCTGATTCCGCGACACTACTGTTCATCCCATAGTCAATACGTAAGCTATAAGACAGACCTATATGGATAGATAGGGTAACCCAAAGGCTGCTAGGGCGTAAGGAGCACCCCTGAGACTTCTTCTTGCTAACGGGCTACGAATCATTTAAATAAGAGTACTGAGAAATCTGGAATACATGTGGAAAAACCATAGTCGGAAGCCACATCACTCAAGTAGGGAAGTTGGTACAAGATAGCCGAACTTGATAAACGATTGATTCTGCATATTAAACAAATAAAAAACTTCGAGACGGAATGCTTCCGCTACTGTTGCATGAAAATGCAGATATATTGGTGCATTCAAATTTAATAGAATCCGGGATTTTATCGGACTAACTCAGCGGGGTCAACTCTCAGGGCATTGTTCACATTTCTCATAACAACACTACTGAGATACCAGCTATATGACCACTAGGAGTGACTAAAGGAGGTGTTCCTCACTTACTAACTCCAGACATGGCAAGCCACCCGGTCCTAACAGGTACACCCACGGATTCAGTCATACCTTATGGACATTAGTTCAGAACAGCTCACAATGATTTAACATGTCCCTTCACTGTACTCATCTTCCTTCGGACCGGGAGAGTGATATAGTTGGCTTTGTATTTAATTATGGAAAGAGACGGATCCTGTCTCACTACTGACCTGTCAGTCTTACCAGCGTACCAATCAAGTTATTTGAAAAAGTAGTTTCACCGCAGCTGCTAAGTCATGTAGATTCACGCAACCCACCAATTCTTGAACAACACTAGTTTCGGGATGAATATTGAAGCTTGACTAACTTACTAACTGCAGATGAGGATAAAAGAGTAGTTCAGAATAATAGTCTATCTGCTGGTGTGATGTTGACCACTTATTCGCGAAAGGCCTAAGTTTTCGCCCGCGAAATTTATCTATCGACTCATTTTAAAAAATTCTGGTACACGCTATCTTGACTAGCTTTTGCCCTACAACCTGAAACTAAAGTTAATTTTGAGAGTTTCTTTCGAAAATGAATAAGAAGTCAGGATACAGTGAATGCAAAGATGAAGCTCACCTTGAAACAGCAAATAAAAATAAGTTTACCTCAAATTTCATTATTATAAGCAGTAATTCTACAATAAACCGTAATATGTATAACTTCTATGTTCTGTACTATATTCCTCCACAATTGCATACACAAACCTACATAGGTCTCACCGGACAACACTACAGAAAACCAGACCGATCAAATGCGTATCACTAAAAAACTCACAGGGTGGATGGAAAAAGTGAAAACAAAGACAGGAGCTGACACAGCTTTAAATCACCATCTGTTTGTGACCAAGATGAAAGTTCAGCTAAAGAAACATCGGATATCTGAACAAACAACACTAAAAAAGTTCAATACAGTCTTCCTTCGACATACTGAAATACTCAATCAATTCAAGATAGCTCTCATCAACAGGTCACAAGCCCTACGAGATCTACTCAAAGAAGAGGAAATTATCATGAAGAACAACCAGAAACGGATCAAAAAAGCTCTACCTTCAACGTGCCAGGGGGTTCTGGGCCGCAAGAAAAGTCGTCATACGGAATGGATCTCTATCGAAACCCTGAACAACATTCAAGAAAGAGAGAACATGGAGACAGCAATTAGCAACAGTCGAACAAGAGCAGAGAAAGACAAGGCACAAACTGAACACACAGAAGCAAACAAACAAGTGAAAAGGAGCTTTAGAAATGACAAGCAGAAATATGTGAAAGACCTAGCAGCCACAGTGGAAAAAGCTGTAAAAGAAGAAAATATGGAACAACCACATTACACAACGAAGAAACTGGAAGGGGAACATGATAAACTAGAGAGACTGGTAAAGGACATAGAGGGTAAGCCAGTTACTGAGATTCCAGAACAGAGGAACAAATGGATAGAACACTTGGAGTCACTTTTGAATGGACCAGCTCCATTGAATCCACTGGACATCGAAGCAACACACACAGACCTTCCTATAGATGTCTTTCCATCAACGATGGAAGAAATCAACATGACCATCAGACAGGTCAACAGTGTGAAAGCAGCACGACCTGACAATATACAAGTTGAAGCACTAAAGTCAGACACAGAAGTAACTGCAAACATGCTTCACGCTCTATTCAGGAAAATGTGGGAGAAAGAATAAGTTTTACCGACAGACAAGAAAGAAGGACACCTCGTCAAGATATCAAAGGAAAGAGATTTCAACAAGTGTGATAAATAAAGTGGTATCACACTACTATCGGTAACAGGAAAAGTTCTCAACAGAGTATTGCTGAACCGGATGGAAGATTCAGTAGATGCCCAACTTCGAGGTCAACAGACCGGATTCCGTAAGGATAGGTTGTGTACAGACCAAATCGCGAAACTACGTATTATTGTTGAGCAATCACTTGAATGGAATTCGTCACTACACATCAACTTCCTTGGCTACGAGGCGTTTGGTAACGTGGACAGGAGAACCTTATGGAAGCTTCTTAGACACTATGGAGTGAGTACATGGGAAAATCGTCAACATCATACAGGATTCATACGACAGATTACACTGCAAAGTCGTGCATGGAGAATAGATGCGTTCCAAGTGACTACCGTTGTCAGACAAGATTTCGTGCCCTCATCCTCTCTCTCTTTCCTCTGATGGTTGGCCGGATTATGAAGATCTCCACATCTCACAGAATATAATGGATAGCATGAATGCAGCTGAACTTCGCAGATGGCCTGACCGTTCTATCTCATACACACCGACAAATGAAGGTCAAAACAACCAGCGGAGCAGAAGCCTCTGCATCGGTACGCCTTAACATAAACAGGAGAAAAAGCAGCATCCTCAAATACAACACGTAGAGCATCAACCCTATCACACTTGTTGTAGAAGCTCTGGAAACTTTACGTACCTGGGCAGCATTATCAACGAACAAGGAGGATCTGATGCAGACTTATAGGTAAGGATTGACAAAATATCAGCAGAATTCCCACAGTTGAATTATATGTGGGACTCGAAACAACTCTCAACCAATATCAAAGTCAAAGTCTTCGATACGAATGTCAAGACAGTTCTACTTTACAGAGCTGAGACTTCTAGAACTACAATAACCATCATCAAAAAGGTACAGGTGTTAATAAATAATTGCCCATTGACCGGATTTCATCAGTAACAGCCTACTGTGGGAGAAAACAAACCAACTTCCAGCTGAAGAGAAAATTAGGAGACGTTGGAAGTGGATTAAACATGTATTGAGGAAAACACCAAACTGCATCACGAAGCAAGAGATAACTTGGAATTCTGAAGGGATAATGAAAAATAGGAAGGTCAAAGAACATATCGAGCCGAGAGGTGGAAGTAGATATCAAAAGAATGAATAGCAGCTCGAAGGAATTGCCCAGGACAAAGTTCGATGGAGGATACTGATGAGTGACCAGCACAAGCGGTAATTGACGTAAGTAAGATCATTATAGATTCTTCATAACAAAAACTACCAACACACCAAAAGATAGACACTTTTGTTACATCCTAGTTAGAATTAAACTAGGGGTGACTTCTGAGAACTACTAATGGACTAATATTATATATATATTTTTATTGTCTAATTATTCAGTAACTAGATTGTGCATATCCATATTCGCCTTATTATAAGCTTCATTTTGACATACAGATTATTATTGTTATACGATTTACTGTTCTTAATTTATGTTCAGTTTATTGATTACAGTCTCCCACGTTCACAGCCACTTTTTGGATTGATCTTGTGCAAATGTTATTTCCTATTTTATGGTAAGATGAGGTTTGCTTGGCTGGTATGTCACCAGGTATGTTTGAAGAAAATTATTCGCATAGTGGCAGCTGTTATTAGCGTTCTGGACTCAAGTGGACAGACTAGGCGAACAAAGGACCAATAAGGACGCTAGGCTGTTCATACCGAATCGAACGTCATTGGTTTGGCACAGTACTGACTACTGAATAAGTTGTACTTCGATTGTTGAATGATTCACACGATAAAAAGAATGGACAATGTCTTAATTCCTAGAAAAATTATTTGTTTGTTCTGTACGTTCTAACGTGGAAGTCGTATCACTGTCTACACTAACTCATCGTATCGTAACAATTATTTTTATATATTGGAGAACACATTTAGGTTAGAGACATAACAGTATAATGAATATGAATAAAAGAGATAAAACAACACACAAGATTGACCATGCCGGCAAGGCTGTGCAATGCCATCTGATCAATCGAGGTAATTCTTCCCGTCTTCTCTATTGCTGGATTTTTCTCCACGTTAAATGTTGAATAACTATTTTCTCAATTGTCGCGTATTCAGCCTTGTGGATTGTGTCGTTAGGGCCCAATGCCTCTGCAAGCCTGCTAGTTGAAACCTTCCACTCGACTTATATATAAGATAGGCCCCCCAGTTTTTACGTTGTGATACCTACAATTATATTTTATTCTTGTAAAGAATAACGCTTCTAGTATTCGTGACAGATAAACAGTGACTGTGAAAAAATTCAGTACCTAACCTGGCCCTTGTCTGGTTAATGATACTAACTCATTTGAGAGTGTTCAGTGTGTAGGAACGAAAATAATGTGGAATTTTTCCAAACTGCTTCACACTGAGCGCTTACAACGCCTAAACTTTCTCCTCCTGTCGTATCATAGGACATGAGGTGACTTTATAATGGCATTTCGTATCTTTTAATACGATTTGGATGATGATATGTCTCGTCATTTTGTTCCCTCCAACACCGATAATCTACGAGGTCATAGCAAGAACGTTCAGAAGCCGCGATGTATTACACTTAAAGTGAGGTCCAACTCTTCCCATTGAGTGGTCTATGATTGGAACGCGCTGTCCGAACAGGTGGTATCAACCCCATCAGTAGACATTTCCGAGGAGGAGCTAGACCTTTACTGGGAGGCAAACTGTCAGAATTACCACAGACCCACTAACCTACTATCCTTATTATTGTAGACTGTAACAATCATTACTTAAGACTGTCTACTGGTTCCATCCCTTCTACATTACACTTTCCATTCCGGGCGGGCAGGTTAAACATCACGTGTAGCGCACCAACCAGATCCCGTTATAGCTCCCACATTTTCAGCCATGAACCTGTTAAAATTCAGCAGAATCGTCTCTCACTGTTCGTTTTATAATGGCTTTTCAAAACCATATACGCAAATGGCAACAAATTTGGGGGCAGATAAAGATTTAGTCCCTCCTTCTTTAAGCGCTGATAATAAAGAGTATCCGAAACACATACATGAGATTGTAAATCGCATCAGTTCCCTAACATTATTAGAGGTCGCAGACTTGTCAGAATTGCTACAAAAAAAGTTAAACATCAAGGTGAGTTCGTAGATAAAAATCGTAGTACGAAATAACGGTGTAACATGACCATTCTTTCACAGTGGTCTGAAGTCCTTGTATGGAACATACTGCTCCGGCCATTTTTGTTTCTAATAGATCTATTTGACAGTATGATTGGTCTTAAGACTCAGCTATCCGAAGAATCGTCTGTATTTCCGGAGTAAGCTCAAAACTCGTCACCACATTGTTGATGGTGATATCTGTCTATTCATATTCGTTTTACTATTATCGACCAGTAGTTATTTTTATATCATTTAATTAAAGTCACAGTGGTATTTTGTTTATCTTTCGTCATACCCAAAACTGGATGTATTAACTTTCTTTCATTTCTTTTATGCATACACCTTCAAAGATATCTTGGTTTTGTATAGTTCATTCTAGTTTGGCCTTATAAACTTTCTCCTACGTTCTCTGTCAGTAGATCGCATTGTTTCTAAGACAGGTAACAACAAGAATAACATAAGTTTGTATCGTTTGCTTAGACCGGTGTATATACGTCCCAGATTGTATGTTGCAGACGACTAGCTGGCTTCAAAGCTGTTCGAAATACTGCATGTTTTCTCAAAAGCTCAAGAAGTAATAAGGGAGAATATTAAAGGATAATGGGTAATATGTAGGAATTTACGATTCCTAGAAGTGCCGAGTAATGACAAGAACATGTGGTCTCGTTATATAAGTCAGACGAAAAATGAACTTCAACACTAATCAAACATAAGAAAAACAAGAGGGATCAGAAAACAAATTTGCACCACGGCGAATGACATTTGGAAAAGTTTATTACAGAATCTTCGATAGTACAAACTTCATGTGATTCCAAAAAGGTGTTTGGATGTTTCTCATGCCTCAGGTTACAGTTAACCATTTGGATTAAGTTTGAGGCCAATAATAATAGACCATACAATGAGTACTACAGAAAGATCGACGTACATGCGTAAAAATCATTTACATACTTAAGAGAAGTGTTTCTGCAGAGTTTTCCTCCGAAGACACTACACTGTTCTCTTCCAGAAACGTAAGGATGCAGCCAGTCAGTTACCCAGTTCTCAGTGTTAACGCTGGCAACTTTGCTTGGTGCTAGTGGCATTGAGACAGAGTCGAAGGTAACAATAGTCTCGAAATTCACATCAAATATAATTCTTACTCTTTACTGATTAAACACTATGTTGTAATGCAGAACAAATAGCAGTATCTAAGATATTTCTTTTACATGTATAAGCAAACTGATATGGATCGGTAGGCTCATACAGTCCAAGCCAAAGTGGGAGTAGTAGTCTCTTCATCGTATTAAGGAAAGGCAAATTTATTATCACGGTTCTAGACTTTGAATCCCTATCATCAGATACGTTCTTTGGCACTGGGATTATTTATATTGTTCACATTGTAAGGAAAAAAAAATTAGTTAAAAACGATTCCTTAAAGATGCTTCTAAACTGGCGAGAGCACATTTTAAAAAAGGTTTAGGGTTTCGCCAGGTCTCAAACATTGCGACGAGTTGATTGACTTGAGGAATCTTAGAATATCAGTTTCAGTGAAACTTGCTACTTTATTTCAAAATTGGAAAAACAGGGCAAGACATCAGATGCTTAACGTATACAAGACTTATTTAAATCATAAACATTAAGCTAGATGTCATTAATCTGATCCTTACCTGTAAGCTCCTTGAAGCTTCCACTTATTTGAAGCGTTTCTACAACATGTCTTTGAGCGTAACCACTTTCAGATGTTTGATTCCCTGGCTTAGACTATTTAGTCTTCAAACTTCAGCAAAGTTTTTCTTTTTGTACAACTTTTCCTCGCTCAGGGATTTTCTAATGATCTGAACAGTAGCTGGGAATTGGACACTATAAGTTCTCACAAGCTGTCAACTCCCGATTCCGCTGTGTACCCTAACCTTTATCTAAGGATCTGCATTGTGACATTAGTATTCTCCCTGTAGTGTTTCACAGTTTAACATTTTTGTGTACTGTTTTCGAGTTGTGCTCGCATTACTTTATTTACTTTTTCCTATCAAAGTCACTTCGATTATATCTGACTTTTTCTTAATGAAGTACTCATACTGTAAGTAATTACGCTCAAACTATACCATTCCCTCTAGTGTTGTGCTCTGATTTAGGTAGTTTAGTTGCAGAGTGTTCAAATGTCGTCTTAGGCAACATCATTTCATCCCGTTTTTCTTTTGTGCCTATGTAGAATACGGGACCCGTGATGCCTATGATGGGTCAAGCGCCAGTAAATCAACCTGTTGAAGAGCCTGAAGAACAGCAAGCGCCTACGAAAACAGCGTTTTCTGTCAAGCTAGTAAAATTCGATGCCGCGAAGAAAATCCAGCTTATTAAAGAGATCAAACAAGTTATTCCAGAGATGAATCTCGTACAAGCTAAAAAGTTTGTAGAAGTAAGTTCAAGTTACAAGTTAGCAGCACAACGTGTTTAATCTTCAACACCTGATCTTATGGTCCTTATTATTCAAAACAACGAAAAATCCCTACAAAAAACTCATATAGCTACTTTCATATCGCATCAAACAGTAGTTTATTTTTAATTAATGTACTCACTAGTTCAACTGTTTATCAGTCCATGTCTGCTTACTTATTTACGTCAGTGCAATGGTAAGAAGTGAAAGAGTTTAAAGATAAAGTGTAAATAAAGTTAAGAACAGTAGTAAGAAAATCATATATATAAAAATCGGGGAGAGAGCAGCTTCGGATGATGTTGCTTAGGACCTGCATATATTTAGAGCGAATACATGTGTAGTCAACTTTGAATCATATCATCTACAGTTACCAATACATGGGTTAAACTAACAGTCAATAGTTACACATATCGATTTATTTTCTTTGCTTAAGAAGCCCCTGCGGTAGCCAGTGAATCGCTCAGGGATGATGTGACTAGGCATGCGTAGTACATGCCTCAACTACCTTGTCAGTCGATTTGGCACGTTTATTTAGTTACTTTATCCTGTGAAAAAGCGCACATTCATATTGTGTCAAGTATTGTTATTTGATCCAAAAGCTAATAACAGTTGGACACACTAGACAACTATTCTGGATTTAAAAGTAACCGCCCACCCACCTACCCAATTTTGTTTGAATATTAAGGCTGCTAATTTGCTTTTATAAATACATTTAATAACGTGTTATATTTACATATTGTTAGCTTAAAAATCGATAACCTTAATTATTTCACTTTTAGAGTGCGCCTGCCAATATAAAGACTGACGTGAGCAAGGACGAAGCTGAACAAATAAAGAAAGTATTAGAAGAGGTTGGAGCGTCTATTGCAATTGAATGAACATTATTGTATACACAGGCATAGAAAATAGATATTTTCCAAATTGAAACCAGTAGTATATTGCTGTTATTAATTATTGGATACTCCTCTCAAAGCCAAGTACCCATTAACGATATGCTGAGGCAAATAACGTATTCTTTTAAACTCGGAACAAGTTGCATAATTTAGTTTTGTCGATGGATCTGTATAGGCGGTTGGTATCCCACTTAAATCAGAAACTTTCATAGGTGGACAAATGCATGGTGGTGCATTCAGATGATTGTAAAGAACAGCATCTGGCGAATAGCTAACCTGCAGTTAAGAACAAATAAATACTAATCTGAAAAGTAGTGGGTTTGAAATTGTGTGAGATTATGTATAAAGAAGTGGGTTTCGACCATTGTATGGATGGATGATAATCTGCATACCGCCCAAAATAGAATAATTATAAATTCATGGCCTAATAATGAAGAGTTGAATACTCAAACCACCTGTGGATCATTTTACATAGCAATGGTTCAACAAGCTTTCCTTTCAGGTTGTATTAACCAATAGAAAACCCACTGGGTAAAACAAATAGTATCTGTTCTCCACAACAACGGAAACGAATAGTCGAGAGGAAAGAACATATGGTAAAAATTTTCAGTGGGAGTTACCGCAACAACCAATCCAGCGGGGTCAATGCAGATAGGGTGTTCAATTGATTTCATATTGGTCGGGTAGGTACGCGTGTGAAAAGCCAGTATTCTTACTTAGCAAATACGAAGCATCACCATACTCTTAAAGCTGTCATAAGAAACTGGATTCTGCTAAGGTGTTTGTCTCACATCACTATGTCGGTCAGATAGTGAGCAGGCAAGAGATTAATTATAGTAGGACCAGAGGTTGACAGACAATTGTTAGTAATCCCATAGCAGATGCTAGTTTTGAAGTCATTTTACTTAATCAGATAGGAGGAAACAGATACAAAAACTAGCTCCCAAAACATGAATGCAAACGGGTTCGGAATACTAAAACGTACTTATTCACTGAGTTACATTGATTCATCGAATCGTCACATACAACAGTAAAGAGTAGTTTTCTCATACCCGTAATTTCATAGCCAACAGGAACATCTTAAAATTAACGTTGTTTATGGGTCAACAAATCCTCACATTTTATGTTACGCTAACTCAACAATATGTACGAAAATTTTAAACGTTACTTTCCAGATTGAATAGACTAAATATGCTACTAAATACTTCGTAACATACATTTCTCCAGCTTGGTTTTGATGCCTTTCGCGCAACGAATAGAGGCATATTATAAGAAACATAAACTTAGTCCTACTACATGGTGGTTTCCAGAGGAAAGTGGACCGGTTGGATTTATGTGTAAGTTGATGCAACTGTTGAGTACTACGTATTTATTTAAACACATGAATATTGGTACAGAGGGGCACCAGATATATATGCACCGCACAAATCTCATTTGATTTCTGTGAGGGCTGTGATATACTACCCTGGTGCCCAAACCGAAACAGGTGGTTTTCTTAGGGGACCACACCTGGAGCCTTCGACCTAAAGGTCTGATCCACAAGTCAGTGGAGCATCGTGAAGAGATGCAGTCCCATGGTATTCGGTGACCAACGATTGGTTCATACGCCATTTGTTCCCTCAGGATACTGGAGCCCATGTGCACCATTGGTTTGGAATCAGGGTTTTCCAACTCCCCTAAGCAAACTGATATGGATCGGACTTTCCGTGTCCACCAACCCGGTTAAAGCGCCGGACATTTGCTTTTCGTCCTCTCAATTTCGTAAACAACAGTAATGCCACGAGTAGGCATTGAGTAGGACTTCCCTGGCAGAGGCTATATACGCGTGGTCATGTGAGAGCATTTTGAAAAAAGAAGCAAACTCTCCCCACTCGGCCGTACCAGGGCTTTTGGGGGTACTACGTATGACCAAAAGATAAGCTGAAGTTCTGCGTGGATTTAATAACTATTTCGCTACAATATTCCAAAGGACAATCCACCGTGTGAGCACTTGACTCGGTCGATTGACCAATCTAATCTAGTTACAAGCTCATGAATCTAGATAAATTAGCTACACTGCTTATACAATGTTCACGTGTACGGGAAAGTTAAACGACAAAGATTTAACCTGCTCGAAACGCACTTCTTGATAATACGTGGCTACAATACAATCGAGTGTGAAATAAATTTGACTTTTACAATAACACTTGCAAACAGCATAGGTACCTAATTTCAGTCCTATTCTTGGCCAGAAATCCAGTTAATTACAATAGGAAATAATTCTTGATCCAGACATCGGAGATATTAATGTTTGAGCGAATAAACATGAATGGTCGAGTGCAATGACGATAAGCTTATCAGTCCTATGGTGCATAATGAGGTAGGAGATTTTAAGTACTGATGCTACTACCTTATATAAGAAATACAATCCAGTACTAAGGAGAGCCGATATAGGTACAAATTATTAAGAGTGACAGACACTCAACTTTTATTGGTCGGCATGTGGTGGAGATAGGTAAAAGAACTAGCTTAAATATAATCTTTCTAATTTTATGCCGAAGTGAACTGAGGTGATGCTTGGGTTTTTTGAGACGTCAAACTGAGGGAAATATAAACGTGTTTAAGAGTAGTTGATACTTGCGCTAAAAAAACCCTGGTAATATAGGACTCAACTTAGCATATAGAGTGGTGCACTGTGTATTCTTTTCTATCCTTTTTGTTCCATCTGCTAGTCTGACCTTCCATTTCTCATTTCACGTAAACAAGTTGGTGTGTGATTACTTAGTATTTCATCACATCAAATCGACCAAATGGTCTTGTTATTTTAAATTCATATATCTCCCATGAGAAACAGGCATTATCTAGTGCTGGATATTTTTATATACGATGCGAAACACAAATTACTAACTTGAATTCGAAGTGTTAAATATAAATCTTACTTGAGATTCCGCATTTAGGACCTGTTTTATACCTTTGAAATTTGTTTTTTTTCGCTCGTATTGTTTGGAACTATATTGTTCTGGAACTGCCATTTTTATAAAGTGAAATGTCGAGAGTAAGTTGACAGTGTATCTGGAATGAGAAGAGATATTCACCTATTAGATTTTGGATGGGACTTTTAAGACGAAATAAACGGGGATACTTATAAATTCACGGCAGAGTTGAGCACCCGAAAAAGCCAACAGCGTTCACACTAAAAACTCAAGTTCAGCGTTGATTCATCTGATAATTTTAATAACCGGATGAGTTTATTGTAGATAAGGTCAAATATATCTTATTGTTTTAAAACGTATAGATGCGTAGCGCCTAGAAACAGGGTTATTATTATGAAGTATTAATAGTAGAACTATGAGAAAGTGCAATATGACGAAGATGCTTACTGGTAAACTAGCCCAGACCAGTGTTGTTGAATGTACGTAGTGGACTAACATCTTTTGGTTACATGCAGTTAAAACATCTTATTCTAGAGAAGCAGGAAGATTCATTGGTATTGGTGGATTCGCCACCTGGAAGTTTGATTATTAAACCTAGAAGACAACTCAGTCTTAGACAGTGCAGTTTTTTCTTTAATTTTATAGAGTTGGCTCCGTACTACCTAAACTGTTACCTAAAACAAGAGCCAATGGGAATGATTTATCTAACTGACGTTTCCTACTTTCTATAGAGCCATCGACAAGGCAGAATTACTATATGCATGGAGTACCCGTTCAAACCATATTGAAATTACAATCGATAACAGGACCTAAGCTGCGGAATTGCGCTTAAGTAGGAATTAAAGTAATGTGATTTAATGTACATCAATTTGGCACCTGATTTTACACTTCGAGGCCACAATATTAGCAATGTTTTTAGTTTAATACATACGAGTTACATAAGTTCTCATAATAAGTTGTCTTTTTATTGCACAAACAGCAGTACTGCATGCACTACATTTATGACCGACACATCCGTATAAAATTCAAACATTTTATGGAAAGTTTTACACCGATCTTGTTTCTTGGACGTTGTGTACAGCCTCAACTGACTCATATATCACGAAAGATCATATAGGATAGTATATTTCGTATATTTGGAGTGGTTTGTTGACAACACTGCTAGAATAGACGGGAGTCCAATGCAGTTTCACTCCCAAACGGAAAGCGACAGGCACAATATGATGTTTTTGGCATGATAAAAATTAACAGACCACTAACTGTGAGTGTTTCCTGGACACAGTACATTTTGAAGCAAAAGATCAACAGAAAAAAATAATCTCTAGAATGCGAGCACTTTATCAGTAGTTACTACGTGATATTCCAACCCAATCGGTTCCAATTGTATAGGCTATTCCAGCTCTTTTGATGCGCGACCGGTCATCGTTTACCGACACTACATAAATTCTGTGCAAGTGACTTTTAAATTCATAACCGTCAGGAAAACAAGAAATTACATGTCTTGTGAACATTTACAATAGAGCAGGAGCAATGGGTATTCAACAACACGGTGACCTCTCCTCAACAGATACACGCTGCGCCTTGCAAGATGTATGTTACCAGGGATTATTAATCAGGAAAACAAATAAACGTCTTGCTTGAAGGTAATTACCTACATTAATGTAGTGTTATGATAGAGTGCGTAAGAAAAGCTGTAAGAGCGATTAATAGTAGAAAGTGTTGATTTGTAAATCATTAAATGCAAGCAATGCGATTATATTAAATAAAAAGAGTTAATACAAAATAACCAGGGGTGAAATTCAAAACATTACGGGACAGGTGAAAAGTTACGTCTCGGTCAATTCTGCCACCACAACCTTGAATGGCTCAAATGCTTGAGGACGGAATAAAAGAAGCTTTCGCTTAACGGGCTTACGTGTCTAGCAGCAGTGGATCACCAATACCTCCAGGCAAAAACCTAGGTATGTTAACGATAATAGAGGAAAAAATGAATTTGGTAAATCATAATGGCTCTTTTCAAGGCGTGGATTTCGTCTTTGGAGTGCTCGGGTTTGGCTGAGTGCGTGCTAGCTTTCGTGAGTGACCAGTGTTTTTCATAACTTTTCAGTTTGTTAAAATTTGAAAACACTAAAAAATGTCGCCCAAAATCATTTCAAGTGAGTTATCTTTCTTTTCTAGTGCGTCGGGCTCACCAATATGTGTAGTGCCGTGCTTCAATAATAGTTCACATCGATAACCGTTATTATATCAATCTGAACGGTGTATAATATCAGAAGACAAAGTGAAGCTGCAACTACACTTTTATTGACGAATAACATAGGCTAGAAGGCAGTGAGCACATGAGCAAATGTTAGCGAGCGACGTAAAAATGACATGCATGGGAGATGGCTGGTAAGCCAACTCGTTATAAGCAAGCATTACTCAATATTTATCTTCAGTCAGAAATGAATGACAGACATATAATGAATAAGATACGCTCGTATAAAAAAATAGTCAAGGTCAATAAGCGAATAATTAACAAGATCAAAATATGACTCATAATGTTGTAGGTGAATTAGCTTGTCCAGAAACTAGAATAAGCTTTGTAGGTGTAATATAGTACACGACATTACACTACTCCCCACAAGTGAAAACACGGTATTTTTTTCCAGTTATTGTCATATGAAAAGCTGAAGTTATACCCACTTCACTGAAGACTGTATTACACTCCAGAAATAACGTGTTAACAGCAAATTCTATTATACATAGTTCAACGAACTGTGTATTTGCGTTGCCAAACAAATGTCTAACACCATTGGTCAGGCTTCCAGTATCCGAAATATTGCGGTTGATGTATGTGATCTGAGCTTTAATCCCCACTGAATTATGCAATTTCATCATGACCCTGTCCAACGAAATAGGGACTCGATATAATAATTTATTAAAATACAGGCGAATCAAGATATTCGGAAGGATTAAACAAAAATCAAAAGAAAAGAAACATCGCTGGCAAAAACTACTTCCAATGATCTAAGTGTGGTTCCCAATCTCTGAAAGAGCCGTCTAATTACCCACGAAAGCATTCTACTAGAAAACCGATCAAACTGCAATTAACACTGAAAACGCTCTTAGCACTCTGGAAATCAGTTCTTGAACCGGTACTAGAAAGACTTCCAGACAAGCAACAGACCATGTTCCGTAAAAGAATCTCACATGTCAAAATAAATATTCCTTCACCTATTGAGGCAATGGAAAGCTTGTGGTGGATCTCAGCACAGGAAGTGATTCGAGACATAACGGTGCACAGATTTAAGGACGAAATACCAAAAGAAATGAACATCCAGAACCGAAATATTTGTCTATGAACAAAGCAAAACAGTAACTAATTAACTTGTCATTTAATATACCATCTATATTATAACTTTAATTTTAGTTGTTATGAAACGAACGGTTGTAAACCACTCTTTGATGAAACAATCACAAATGAGTTCACTTGATTGACGGATGTTACTCTGCGTGTTATGACATCAACGGCGTAATGAGAAAGATCAAATCCAATAGTATTATTTAAATATCAATCCAGGGCAAAACTCCAACGTCATGTATAATGGCCCAAAAAGATGTTATAACACTAAAAGGACCTTAAAAGGCCGTGGCTAATGAAGCAGAAGAACAGGCGTCAGAGATATCGTTCATTTTTTAACAACTGTGGTAGCGTATGTACACAACTAAACAATTACAACTGTTTCCTACCCAAACATACAGAGAGACATAAGATATTGGATATAAATGTGGCCGTATTTTATGTATGACAAATAGAGAAAAATGTCGTTTCAAGATCATGGAATATACATGTCACAATATAACTCCTCCTAGGGCATACGCCAGTAGAGGTACCGACGATAAGAATTAATCATCCCCAAGAAACGTCGAAGTTCATTCAATGAATCTGGTTCTGCAAAATTTTTGATGGCTACAATTATTCGTCTAACGGTTTGATTCCGTGTTTGTCGGTCGAGTTACCTAGATTATCTAGGTTTTTGACTCCCGAAATGCAATTGGATGGACTAGTAGCTATACCAAATCTCTGAAATCTTGCAAGTAGTTGATGTAGCAACAACAAATTGCTAGCTATTAACACATCTTTAGTATACACGAAAACAAATTCTATGCCTTTAATGACCTCATCCATGAGTCTTTCAAATGTCTGTGAGGTGTTCTTCAATCAAAATGGCATTGTTGCCAATTCAAATAGACCAAAATTAGTAATGATGGTCGGGAGGACTCCAAACACGAAAGAGCTCTGGGCTGCCTGCGAATGTACGTTACGACGCTGAAACTGAACTTTCACATGTACAAACTGTAAGATCCATTTTGAAGGTGAAAATCCCCCCATGTATACATTCGCAAATTCTTCTTAATGGTTTCTTTATTTGTACATATTGTTAATCTTTTTGATGCCAATTGAGACTGTAATGTTTAATTTCATAATAGTTTTCTCAATTTTCTATCGCTTTCATTAAACTTCTATGTTTCTTCTTGAACTGTATCTAATTTGTTTTAATTGATATTATTCTGGCGGCTGTCATATTGATTGTTCCCACTTTGATTGTGCTGTTTGATTTGACTGAGATCGTGCATTTTGGTTGTAAATTGGAGTACTTTCACAGAATTTGAAACACTTTGTGTTATAGCGCAACCTTTAAAACGGAATTTTTACTTGATCTATCCAGAAAGGCAAACGACACTATCAGGAGACCAACAATACGAAATGAGTTCAGGCGTTTTTTGGAATAAATGGTATAAAAATATAATTAATACGTCGCAATTGTTGAAATTCATCATTCACGCTTCTAATGGACGTTTCACGAATAAATATTACGTAAATAGATAGTCAGGGTGAAACAAATCATCATCATGTTCGTTAAAAAACACATGAGTCTGCCATTATTAAGCGGGACGCTTGAAATGTATCTACAAGAGAACATATGGTATGACAATAATTTACCTTAAAGATGCATCAATTTGCACTGAGTAATCGGCAGGTGGTTGCTATTTTACTCAACACTCTACTCTCTATATGCATTCCCTGTTCTTCCTCATTCCGACCTTGACTTCCCTCCTTCATTGGAACCTACTCCACCTTGATAAATATCACAACTCATTGTTCTTTATTACTGCCCTCTCTCTTCTGGAGCCCCTAATCGCAGTTTACTCTTGCGACCTGAGCTAGTATCAATTTAATCTAATAATTTATCATACCTCCATCTGTTCCACTAATAAATGTTGAGCATTGATTATCGCTCATATCCAAATACCTTACTGCTCGGTTTCTTTTTCTTTTTTTTCTCTTCAGAATCTTGCTCTGAGGGTGGAGCTATGTAATTTCTGACATCTGGAACAAGCTTAACGAACGCGCTTTCCCAAGGTCATAGCTCGAACCAGGCACTCCACAAGCCTACTCTATAACAACTATAAACTTAAAAAGCTGCATTACATAAATACTTAGAACTACCGAAACCCTATTACACTTTTTGTCGAGATTGGATCTGGTATATAACGTGGACGCTATGCCCCTTTGGAAACTATTCTTATGAAAACACATTATATCTGAACGAATGAACTGCTATCAACTTTTATAGATTATGATTACTAAACAAGCTTGCTTGGGATGCATACTGTGAACCAGTATATGTTGTAAATTGTAGATCATGTCTGTAAAAATGGCGTGTACCTGCTAATGCAGAAATATATTATTATTATTATTATTACTTTGTTTAACTCATGAATAATCTTCACGTAGATTTTTATTTTGCGCGTGCTAACAATTAAACCTAAACAGTTGGACTTATAACATGTATTTATTGATCAGTTGTTGCTGCCTTCTTTTTGACTTGTCTTTCAGCTTATCAATACCTAGAGGATCATTATTATTTTTTTCATAACCTCCGGTGAGTGACAACCTCACTCTAATTGGTACCGATTCAACGTCAATTTGATTCCAGTGGGGAAGTAGTGTTTTGTTATTGGTCCTAGCCGCACAATCCTCAAAGCTAAACACGAGATAGCACCTTACATGCGTCGTCATTCTTACGTGACTTAACCCTCTTATTCATAATAAATATATTGTTCAATTTCCAGCCAAAATGTGTTTTCCAGAAGCATGTAACATCATATTGGTGATTCTTAAGATAGGAAGAGTCAGTGTGGACAATGATGTGACTTTCTCGTAAGATCTTATAGATTTGGTAGTCACATCATAAAAAAGTCTCCAATTTCAGGATTGGGTCTAATGTTATAGCAGTACTAATAACGTACAAGACCATAATTCTACATGACAACATTAAGTAAGCCCGATTCACAATTTCTTTTTTTTACTTTAATGTTTCGCCAACCTGATATGTGCGGAAAATGGATATAGGAAAACCCCAAAGATTGGGCTAATAAACACGAAATCGACAAATCAAATATGATAAAGTGTGAACATAAGGCATATAATAAACAGTACTTAAAGTTAGTCTGTCAAAGTTTTTCCAATTTAAAAAATAGGATTCTTAAAAACATCTTGAAAACAATTAACAAATTTTCTAAAACTCGGGACTCAACTCTTCGTCTTTTCCTGAAACCACATGCTGTTTTCGGCTGAAAATCGCTCAGTTTCTCGATTCGCATTATAATCGTTTCATTTTGTGAGTAATTGAGCTGCTGTCAGTTCCATATAGTTACCGACATCCATGAGATCAGATTGTTTTTAATTGAAACCTTTAGATGAATGACTATCGCCACTTTTCCTCATTATAAGTTGTTTCAACGTGTCACGATTCTATAATACGATTGGGCACTGATTAATACGTTCGTAACTTCACATTATCGATTTCTTGTT